TGGCCGATATGACCCTTTTGCACCCCTCAAGCGTGGTGCATTCTAGCTGTGCCAGCTGGAGTGCACAGACCCGTCCCCCCATGCATGGGTGTGGCTATTTTGCACCTTTGACCACCTTTGACCCCTCTTTTTGCACCCTTTGCTCAAAGCTTCTTGAGGAAGCTTTGACCCCTTGCCTTGGCTTCCTCAAGAAGCTTGGCCAGCTGTCTTAGCTTCCTCTATAAGCCTTGCCCCCTTTGTCCCCCTTGACCCTTTCTTTTTAGCTTGTCTTATAAGCTTCAAGCCCTTCCCTTTGCCTATATAAGAAAGCCTCCTTCTCCATTGTTTTGGTTGAGCAAAAACCAGACCTAGGGCATATATATTTGATATATATACACCCTCTCTCTATATATCTCCCTCTCTCTCATCCTTTGTGTGTTTAAGAGCCTTAAAGTGTGTTTTGCCCATAGTATTGCACCAACACACACACCATTACACCACACTTCGACTTGAGAGGCCTTAAGGGTTTGTTCTTGGAGTTTTAAGCTGGTTTTGATCACAGGAAGAGGTCTGACCTTGCTGTTCATCAAAGGTTCTTTAAGGGTAACTTCTTTGCTTTAGTTTCCCCAATCTTGCAGTAGCTTTTGACCTGTCTTGCATGCTGATTTAAGCTTTCTGTATAACTGAAAAAAGTCTTATTTTTAGCTCCTTTTTAAGTTTGTTCAAGAACACTTTTGTGTTTGGGGTTGTTTGACCCCTCTTAGGCCTTGTTTGGCCTCATTTTTGTGCATTTTTAGTGAGCTCCGGGACCACCTTGTTTGGGCCTCCTCACCACTAAAATCTTGAGGGATTTCAGTGGTGAGGATGGTGGTTTAAGGTCCTAAGAAGGAGAGGGATATCCCCTCTCTTTGTTGTCTTGTTTGATGCCCTTTTTGGCCTTACAAAGGGGCCTATATTTGCACACTTCTTGAGCTCGGTTCAGGAATTTTTCAATGGGTTTTAGGACCCTTAGAACTCATTTTCAGAGTTTATTTGGTCTTGCTAAATGTCTATCTTGCATGTGCTTAATAACTCCTTGCATGGCCCTCTAAAGTAACTCATCATTTTTGCATGCCATGGTTGCGTATCAGTGGTTATTTGGGCCTATTTTCACATGTTTTATTCACTAATTTTTGATGGTTTGGTGAGATTCCATGTGCATCACATACTTGCCATACAACCCATGTTTGCTAGTCAAAGTTGCATACTATTTTAGTCCATCTTGCTAACATCTTTTGGCCATCCTTTGAACTGGAAATATGCATGTTTTGGGACTGTCTTGACTCTGTCTTCATGCTTCATAATCAAATAATGCATGCTTTGTATAGGTATAGGCCAATGCGTATGCTCAGTTTTGTGTTTCGGGGCCATTCCGTGCATCGGGTGCCATGTTTCCATGCTTCGGGGCTATTTTGTATCACATTTCAGTGCTGGAATTACATGCTTGCATGCCATATTTCATGCCTTGCCATGCCCTGTTAGAGTTGCATACTATGCCTTAGGTTTGGTCCTCGGTTTGTGCATGCGTGCACGCGTTTCGAGAGTCTCATTTTCATCTAATGGCCACTGTTTTGGACCTAGTAGAGAGCTGTCCAAGTTAGTGTAAGACCATCCTTTGCATTTTAATGCATGCTCACCTTGTGTGTTGTGGCATACTTGTGTGTTGCTGCATATTTAGGTTGCTTAATATGATGCATGCCTTGCACACTTGCATGCTTAGATCACATCTTGTATGCTTGTCACTCCCATTATTATTCCATATCTTGTATGCTTGCTCATTTAGGTTGTGCGCCTAACATGCATTGTGCATTACTTGCTTGCATGCCCATGTTGCATACTTAATTAACATGCCTAGGTCGCATCGCATGAGCATACATCCCTTGCCTCTTGATCAATCATGATAGGGGTTGGGGCCCTTTGATGTGTTTTGTGCTTGCATTTCATTTGACATCAAATGGAAAGCTTGATCACTTAGGCTATCATGCACAATTGATGGCTCGAGAATCGAGGGCCATGCTTCCCTGAGTTCAAAGCATGATGGGGAGCATGACCATGCTCACATGTGCCTGAAATCCCATGCCATATACTGTCTGTCCTCTGTTGCTGTCAAAACTGTCTTCTGCAGGAAGTTTCTGCCGACTGGCAGCATCCAATGCCGACCGGCCATTTGTGAATGGCCGATAACTCCATCAGTAGTCGAGGGAAATTACCTATGGCCGGTGGGCATTTCCTCCAGCCGATGGTATTCTACAGTGTGCAAGGAACCTGTCCCAGAACTTTGGAAATTTTTAGAGAAGCAGGGCAGTGTAAACAGAGGTGGCAGTGGTATGGTGCGGACTTTCCGAGTGAGACGGGTTTGAACATGCATCATTCGCGCATCCCAAGGCGGGGGCTGTGGCCACCTTTCTTTTTGTA